GGAGGGAGGGGCTGGTGGACACGGCGGTGAAGACGGCAGAGACTGGCTACATGGCCCGCCGGCTCATGAAGGCCCTGGAGGACCTCTCCCTCCAGTACGATGACACAGTGCGGAACTCGGAGAAGACGGTCATCCAGTTCGTCTACGGGGACGACGGCCTCGATCCGGCCAAGATGGAAGACCAGAGTGCCCTCTTGGCCTTTGGCGCCGGAGATCATTCGCTGGGCGAGCACGGGGAGAAAGGGAAGGGGCCTCCCAGGCGGAAGAAAGCGCGCGCGGGCGCCGACCGGCCCGTGAACTTCCCTCGCCTCCTCCTCCAGACCCTGGCCACGCACAAAGCCCCCCATGAGCGCCCGCTATCTCCCCGACAGATCCAAGCCTTTGCCCAGGCCGCCGTGGAGTCCCCGCCCTTCCAACGCCTGCTGCCGCAGGGCCACAAATTCTTGGAGGAGATCGAGGGCTTCGCGGCCGACTTGGCCGAGGCTTTGGAATCCTTGCTGGTCTTTCTGGGCGCTCCCAAGGACGACAACCTAGAGGACGGTTACAGAGGTCTCTTGGACTTCGATGTGGACGCAGTGCGGGCCAAATTGACGGCCTTGACCGCGCTGGAGCGCCGGAACCGGGACGCGGTGGACACCGCTGAGGAGCGACGAGGGATGGGGACCCCGGCATTAGGCCAGGCTTGGCGGGAGACAGTGCAGGCGACGGTCTTCAATCTCGCCCGTATCACCGAGTCCCAGTTCCGGGTCATTTTGGAGGAGGCGCTGGGTCGTTATAACCGCGCGTGCGTCGAGCCTGGGGAGGCAGTGGGAGCCGTGGGGGCCCAAAGCATCTCGGAGCCGGCCACGCAGATGACGCTGAAAACCTTCCACTTCGCGGGCGTGGCTTCCATGAACGTAACGCTGGGGGTACCGCGTCTGAAGGAGATCATCAATGCTTCCAAGGAGATCTCCACGCCCATCATCACCGCCGCCCTTGTGCAGGACAGGTCCGAGACGGCCGCCCGCGTGGCCAAGGCGGCGATCGAGCGCACCACCATCGGCCAGGTGGCCCGCCACATCAAGGAGGTGTATGCCCCCCACATGGTCTACGTGGAGATCCTGCTCGACCAGGAGGCTATCACCAAGCTCCACCTCCGCGTGGACGCGGCCTCCGTGCGCATGGCCATTCTGCGGGGCCCGCACCGAGCGAGCGTGCTCAAGGCGCTGAAGGAGCGGGACGTCCTCTACGACCCCCGGCACCCGGACCGTCTGCGTGTCCTCCCGCCTGAGCTGAAAGAGGGCCGGGCCGGCAATGCGGTCCCGTCCGAGCGGCGGATCTACTTCGTTATCCAGGCCTTGAAGGTCGCTCTCCCGGCGGTGATGGTGCGAGGCATCAGCACGGTGAACCGCGCGATCGTGAACAAGGTGGAGGGGGAGGAGGACCGGTACAACCTGTTGATCGAGGGCTACGGCCTGGCGGACGTGATGGGCACTCCCGGCGTCGACGGAAGACAGGCCAAGTCCAACCACATCATCGAGGTGGAGCGCGTGCTTGGGATCGAGGCGGCCCGCGCGGTGGTCGGGACGGAGATCGAGAACATCATGCAGGCCTACGGCATTCGGATTGATACCCGGCACCGCATGCTCCTATCGGACGTGATGACCTTCAAAGGGGAAGTGCTGGGCATCACCCGCTTCGGCGTGGCCAAGATGCGAGAGTCCGTGCTGATGCTGGCCTCCTTCGAGAAGACAACAGACCATCTCTTCGACGCGGCTGTCCATGGTCGTACCGACGCCATCGTCGGAGTCTCCGAGTGCATCATTATGGGGATCCCCATTCCCCTGGGCACGGGCCTTTTCAAGCTCTTGCATGACGTGCCCAAGCCGGGAATCGCCACGCGGAAGGGTTTACTGGACGAGCGGGTGGAGTGAGCCATATCGGATTGGCGAGTGGAAAGAGGGAAGACGAGGTGATTGTACAGGAGGTATCCAAGAGGGAGGGCGCGCAGGACAATGTATTTATAGGGAAGAAGGGGGTCCATAGGATAGGGAGGCTGATAGTCTCAAGGCCGTAGTGTACAGGATAAGCCAAAAGCAATAAAGTACCACAACTTTTCCAGTCGAATCCTCGTGAGTCGTCCTTCATTCAATTTTATCATTACTCTACGGTCAATTTAAATTTCGTGCCTAAGCCGACAGCATACGTCAAATCATGCTTGAAGCAAACTACTTACCTCCATTCTCGAGATGACTCACTGGTCACAGCAAACGCACCTTCCCCCCTAACAATAGCTCACATTCCGGTCATGTTTTTGTGGTCCCTTCATCCATTTTTCACTTAAACGCATTCAAGTCTATCGAGGCGTGCGAGCGATCATCTCCTTCAAATCTGCATCGTGGTCTGCCAGGTTCACTTGCTTTACGCCATAGGTGTCCGCCAGGATCTGCAGGACATTTGGCGTCAGGAAAGCCGGTAGCTGAGGCCCTAACTTGATATTCTTCAAACCTAGGAAGAGCATTGTGAGGAAGACAGCCACGGCCTGCGGGAAGATCAGACGAGCAATAACATGTAAGCAAACAATGGAACATGGTGATGAAACCCTTCCTATATAAAAGCCACGACAGGTGAAACATACGGAGGGTACCCAAATCAACCAGGGTGGAGACATTCGACCGCTACGAGAATAGCATGGGTCAACCTACCTTCTGCTCGAACCAGGAAATGGCATACTGGAGGGGGAGATCGTTGACATCGCATTTGTAGACTTCCGCAAGCGCAGTGGCGACCTTAATGGCTGAGTAAGCATCATTGCCTGTGTTGCATTCAAAAGTATAAAAAACGCGACAAATAGAAAGTAAGGTCACCATACTAGGGCACAGTCGTAACTTCAAAATGATCTCACTCACATTGGCCCATATCGAGCAGACGAGGAATGCCTCCAAGTGTAGGCTCGAAGGGGAGTTTGTTCCTGAGAGAAATTGTCGAGATAGAAGTGTTAGCGCTCTTCAAGAAGAAAATTACCGGACATCTGCTTTCCCTGTCTGCCTTAAGTATCCCCTCTTACATTCGATACTTCCCACAGCCCAGTGTGAGAATGACGGCGTCACGCGGCAGACCAGTGGCAATGTCACGGAAATACGTCCGGTTTGCCTCGGCTCCGTCACAGCCGCCGATCAGGTAGAGTTGTTTGATATCTGTGCCGTGTTATGAGGACCACGAGTGTAAGATCTCACCCTCCGCTCCCTTCAACTCCTGCAGCAAAGTCTATCGGTGTTTGCGATGTCCTAAATCCACCCATGCCTGCTCCTCACTGTCTCGCCTTGAAAGCCACGCACCTCCCGTGTTGATCGCGTTCACGATGTCCCCAGCCATGGAGAGGACCGCGTCGCGACCGTACCCTGTCGTGGTCACGTTCTTAGGCTTGTCCTCTATAAATCCAGGCATGGCCAGTGCCTGCTCGATCACTGCCGGAAATTGAGAGTCCCAGTCCTTGATGTGCTTGACCCCTCGCCATCCGACAACGCCCCTGTTCACGCGGAGAAGGAGATGTCAGACGAACTCTGCCGAGAGGGGAAGGTCGCATGGCTGGTGCTGACCTGGTATAAATGCGGTCCTTGTAGGTCTTTTGCGGCTCAATCAGGCAGTTGGTCGTCACCACGACGGGGCCCTGGAAGGGAAAATGAGCGGGAGGGCGGGGAAGACAGAAGGAGCAGCGATGTGCCATGAGGAATTTCCGCCTTTACTATTGCATCGCCCAACGCTCGTCCTGTGCAATGTCTCAAAGGGGTATACATGTGTATAAACGGATAGATTAGAAAGCGAGGCCTCAAGACCCACCGGAAAACGGGCAAACTCCACTTTCTGCGCTTGCCAGGCTCCCCCGTAGTTTCCCACCAGGTGGGGGTAGGCCTCTCGGATCTTGGGGTAACCGAAGGCGGGGAGGAGCTCGCCGTGGCTGTTGCGGTGGCATGAAGAAATGAAAAATAAAAGAGACAAGAGAGAGGTCGAGTTTCAAAATCTCCACAGCTTGCACGGCCTCGTCCATCCCTCTTTCCTTCTCCCTCCAAATATTTCGACTACGTGTCCCTCCCCCTCGAACGCACGTATAGACGTTGATGCCCCTGCCCGCCGTCCGCTTCAAAATTTCCTCCAAGTCCCGGAGGTCGTGACCCGAGACGGCGATGCACTTGCCTTTCACCGGCGTCGTGCGGACCTCCGTGGGGCGGGGGTGGCCGTACCTCCCTGTGGACCCGGCGTCCAGGAGCTCCATCACTTCCAGGTTGGTTTCTCCGCATCGAAGGGCCAGCTTCAGAAGACCCTCCGTGCTCTGACTAGGGAGGTTGGCCAGGGCGGCCATGGCCTCATGGATGAAGGCGTAGACCGCCTCGCTCTCCTTGCCGAGGATCCGGGCATGGTCCGCGTAAGCCGCTGTGCCCTTGAGGCCGTAGAGGAGCAGCTCGCCCAGAGACCAGGCGTCGGGGTTCGGGGCCAACTCCTTCCGGTGGTTTACCCCCACCATGTGCCCGATCGTTTCGAGTTTGCCGGCCTGGCCTTGCAAGGCGCTTAAGTCCATCTCGGCGGGCCCCGACAAGCGCGCACTCTCAATCTGCTTCCCCGCCACCGCCTTCTCATACAGAGACTTGGCACGGTCACGCGCCTCCTCAGCCTCCGCAAGAAATGCCACGAAGCGATCAGCGTCGAAATTGACATTCGTGAGGGTGCTGTTACATGGTGAGGGAGTGCTGCAAGGTTACAAGCTGCCGTCACTAACGTCCTCGCCGCCCCCAAATCTCTTACCTGAACAGGCTGTCCAGAAGGAAGCGATCTACGGATACGTCCGACAATCCACCGTGCACGCGGGCCAGATGCGCGTACTGTGAAATTCCCATTGAGTAGTGCACAAGCAGGTCTTGAAGAGCGGCCGTCTCGGGGGTCTTTCCGCAAACCCCTTGAACCGAGCCTTCCGCGGGGCTGCAGGCCTTCCCGTGCTTGGTTTGTTCGCACTGGAAGCACATCATATCGTTGTTCCCAGCAGTGTTTTTTTCCAGTGTATCGATAGTGGATGCTCTCCGGGACAACACACGGAAACGAGGCGCACATTTGAAGACACTAGGCGTTGTGTGCAAAGAACGAACAAACCCCACAGAGGCGATGGTGACGCTTGGACGCGAACTTGCGAGACATTGTTGCATCGATAAGAATGCAAGCGGCAGGAGGCGACGATTATGTGTCGTTAGCATGGTGGTGGTGCTTGTTTGACTCGAGGTCGCTGGGTGCTTTTCATTGAGAAGGAAGGGACATGTCACGATCCGGCAGTGAGGACTGCAGATTCAGTAGGAATTATCACGCAACAATTGCTCACTTGCTCTAGAGTATGCGTGATTACTGTTGTCGACGGTTTTTGAAACATGTTTAACCGGCAAAAAAAGAAACACATGCCACTCGTACGCTGAAGGAAGAGCGTGAACCTGAACCAGAGGGAGATAAACGAAGAACACATGGCCCTTGGAAGATCAACTTGTGACGCCATACGTTTGCTAGGCCAAGATCTAATAATTACCTGCATTACCACCAGACTTATTACCACCGCATTGTCAAATTGGTTTTAATCAATCCAAATCAAGTTTTATAATTGCTCAATCACCATCCTGGATCACTTTCCGGGTCTCAAAGGCTAACTTTTAACCTCCTCCCTCCTCCAACGGCCCTCGCTGCTTGCCGCCCCATAAAATGCAGCCACTCGCCGTCTCCCCGCCCGGCCATGGAGGCCTACAAAGTCCCGGAGGCGATTTTCCGTCGCGTTTTTTGGGCAGAACGGTGTCAATGGAATTTTTCCGTGTAGGACGAGGTCAATAATTTGTTTCTAATTCCATCCGCAGACTGAGGACAGCGACCTGTGCAGCATGAGCCCCATTGGTACCATCCCTGCGAGGTCAGACACCTCTGATGCTGTCTCCCATCCTGATGCACATGAAGAGGTATCGCTGGATCCTAGCGCTTTTAGGCGAACTTTCCGTGTGGCAGCCTTGCGTCTTCCTGCGAAATATTGCAATTCCGCGGTCAAACAATTACAACCACATCTGCTTCGACTCCGGCACGTGAAGGGGATCGTAAAGCCTGAAGATGGCGGCGATACACACCGCCTGTTGCTGCTCGCAACTGAAGTCAATGAGCAACACGAAGACACAGCTGTAGAGCTTACTGACCTTCCGGATGATGTCAAAACTTTTGTGCATGCAACAAATGTAAGTTTATGGTGTCGACGGCTAAGATATATGCCACAGACACTTTGTTGCTTCTTCTGCCCCTGATAATGTAAAGACGTCTCCCAGCGTTCTCTCTACTCGAAGGAAAAAATGGAGAGAAATTAGCAGGGTCTGTATGTGCAACGTACTTCTCCTACCGAGCGATACATTCCTTACCTTACATGCGTGCTCTGCGTCCACCTACCCGATTTTGATGTGTATACAATGCCTTGCATATTGACCACCCCTTACCACTTGCGACTCGGACGCAGGCACAAGAGGACCCGACGCCCGCCGCCGAGGCAGAGCCCCCTTGCTCGCGAGTCTCACTGACCACGCACCAGGTGCACCTCGACTACGCGTCTTTCTCGGCGGAAGAGGTGCTCAGGCAGGTGTTCGCCCCGCTTCGTCTCGAGGCCCCTACGTCCTTCGAAACCGTCGACCACGTTGCGCACCTCAACCTCCGCGACGCGCACCTCCCTTACAAAAGGCTCATCGCCCAAGTCATTCTGGACAAGAACGCGCCCCGCATCCGCACGGTGGTGAACAAGCTCGGGAGCATTCAGACCCAGTACAGGACATTCCCCCTGGAGGTCCTCGCGGGCGAGAGCGATTTGAACGTGTCCGTGCGAGAGGCGGGTGCCACTTTCCGGTTCAATTTCGCCGAGGTGTACTGGAACAGCCGGCTCTCCACCGAGCACGCGCGCTTGGTCAACGCCGTTGTCGCCCATTTCCACGCCAGCCGCCCGAGGGTCCCCCTCGCCTCCTGCGTCGTCTGGGACGTGTTCGCCGGCGTGGGCCCGTTCGCCATTCCCTTGGGCCTGAGGGGCTGCGTCGTGCACGCCAACGACCTCAACCCTCGCTCCCACCACTACCTCGTCGACAACATCGCTCGCAACAAGGTGGGCGCCTACGTGACGCCCTACAACCGGGACGGGCGGGACTTTTTGAGGGAGCGAGCGCGGCAACACCAACCCGTGGACCACATCATCATGAACCTCCCGGCCACCGCGCTCGAATTCTTGGATACTTTTGCCGCGGAGAGGGAGGAAACCGCAGGCGAAGAGGAGGGAAGGTCCCGAGGGCTCTTCGATTACCTGGAAGCGCGACCCATCGTGCACGCATACTGCTTCAGCAAAGCCGAGGATCCCACAGCGGAGGCCCTGGCGCGCGCCTCCGCGATACTCGGATGTGCGCTCGTGAATGGCAAAAACGGGGTAAGCGTGCATCGTGTCAGAGATGTGGCTCCCAAGAAAGAGATGCTTTGTCTCTCTTTCCCCCTGCCGCGGCACTGCGAGTTTAACTTCAGTCGCAAGAGAGCGATGGAAAGCGAGAGGGAAAAGGAAGGGCGCGAGGACACGGTGGACATGGTGCAGAAACGAAGCAAGGGTGTGGGGGATGGGACGTGAGTTTTATGGCGAAATGAGAATTTTGTAAATGCAAAAAGTTGAACGAATATGTAAGACGTTCATGCATTGGGCTATCGCTTCTCATTGCGCCCGTTCTTTTTTTGTTGCTTTATTTCGGCAAAGCTTCTCATAACAAAAGACAAAAATGAGCACTACCTGGGAAACAGCAAGGCGTCATCTCACAAAGAAGCGTCGAACTTTTGGGGGGTAATGTTTGGTAGGTCGCAATTTGTCTTGCCAAGCCATAACTGTTTCTAGTAGGACCTAATGCATCGGGGCATTCTTGAAGCTGCCACTTTTCTCCCGCTAGTCGTTCATAATGAGTTCACACCCCTGTCTAATTCAGGCACGCATACACTGGAAGCAAATATAGGCAGGAAGTCGGCAATTTCGTTAACCTCCCCCTATGACCATGACGGAAGCTAGCCATGAAAATGTCTTACCACGAGCCCCAACTTGCTTTCACGCTGGTGTCTTACACCAGGTATGTATTTTTTCCGCTAATCTTTATCCTTGCAAGACACCACTCTGGCTGCTTCATTTGATCAGAGGTCGCGATTTCATTCCTTACATTTCCGTGCGACGTCCCTTTCTGTTGGTTGGAGCAGCGACAAACATCACTCACCGTTACTCCGACTCACACTGCGGACACAAAAATATCACTCAGCGTCACACGGACCAAAAAACCTTACATTGCGGGCACGACCGCAACAACCCTAACCCTCACCACCACTGGCTTCCCATTTCTCCCTGTCTGATCGCGGGTCTCTGGGTGGGTGGACTTTGCGGTGCCTGAAAGGACGGGCGGCCCCAAAATTTATCATGTATGTAATTCGCGCTGTTTGTACAATGGACAGACTCTCCATCCTCCCTTTCCTTCGCGTTTTCATGCCCGCTTGTTGAATACCCCTACAGCAAATTTCAGGCCCAAAAGCATGCAGCCACCGCCCTACGACGCTGCTATTCAACAACAGCCCTCAAAGCCTCCTCGCGGCAAATACGAGTCGTTGTCACCAACTCCAGCTTCCATGAAACAAGAAATCAAACTAATCAACAATGCAGCAGAACGTCGCAAATACGAGGATCTAGCCGATCTCTTCTCCATCATTAAGGCGACAGAACACCTGGAAATTGCCTTCGCCCGCGATGCAATAAGCGAGGACGATTACACTGCTGCTTGTAGTAAGCTTATATCACAGTTCAAATCAACCGAGGCGGCTGTGCTGGCAGCCAAGACTGTGGCAGATGCCCGTGCATTCATGACAGAATATCACATGGATTGTCCGCGTGCCGTGGAGCGATTGCTGCGTTTAGGAGTGCCCTCCACCGTGTTAAACCCCTCCGTGGACGACGGACGCGGGGATGCCATCAAAGTGGCGGAGACCGTGCAGTATTTCATCACGGCCATGGATGGTGTGCGTTTGGAGCAACGGGCCGTGGACGAGTTGCAGCCCATGCTCACGGACATCATGACAAGTCTGAGGCGGGTCCAGGGCCTTCCGGCGGAATTTCTGGGTAGCAAGAAGCTGGAGGAGTGGCTCGTGACGTTGAACGCCATGCGGGCGATGGACGCGATCACAGAGGAGCAGGCGCGGCAATTGCTGTTCGACCTCGACCAAGGTTACAGCAGCTTCCACGCCTGGCTGAAGTCCTTGGACTAGGAGAAAGAAATTCCATCCCTTGTACACATGCGGGCATGGCGGCCCCTCTCCCTGTCCGCAGTGCGGCGAGATGGGAGGAGCTGGCGGGCGTTCGACACAATCGCTGTTTCTTTGAGCGCGTCCGGTTCCGGTGGTTTCGAATGGGCGATGTAGGCTCTGGCTGGACGCACACCGCAGCCTCGCTTCTATCTATCCCCAGGCCCTCTCTCCCGCACGCTCCGCCTCAATCCCCGCCATCCCTGTCCCCCTAATCGTCCTTACCCTTGAGCGCTCCCGCTGCCCACCCCCTCCAGCGCTCAACCCCCCCAGCCAGGCCCCCGCCTCTCTC